CAAAGAAATGTTCAATTTCCTACAGTAGGGTAACTTAGCAGTTAAGACTCACATTGAACTGAACATTTCTACAGCTGTGAAGTGACAAGAGGTCAATGGGACTACATTATAGAAGCGCCTGATTGAGCTTTCTGCCTCACAACTGTTGGACTTTGTTGTTATTTTCTACTCCATTCACTATCTTTAAACACTGTCGTGTTCCATACCATGTTTAGTACCAAGTTTTTACCATAAGTGTTTTGTTCAGTTTTGTAGATTTCTGACATAGCCTTCAGTTTTCCGTCTTTTAACCTCTTTTCTCCGTTGTCTTATTCTCCTTTCACCCCTCCCCCCCCCTCACAGTAATCAGTCCATCTCCCAATTAACCAGACTTCTTTTTGTTGATTGATGGTAATTAAAGCCACATCCCTATGGTAACCGTCTGCTATTCAAAGTAACTGATTGTTGTTCTTAACAAGTGTGCTATCAAGTGATAGCAGACCTATGTGTAACTGGCCAATCAGAATCAAGTATTTAACATAGTTGTGTAGCAACTAACTGTCGGCTACATTTGACAACCAGGGGGAAAGTTGCTCTTTCTTTACTTTAATTATTTATTGTAACGATTGCAGTGCTTATGTTTGTTGTATACATTTGATGGTTTAATTTAAACTAAAGGGAGGGGTTTATATGTTAATGTTGCACTCACAACTTGATGTGGATGCCCCCATGTGGCCAAAGAAATCAGTTAAAGATTTGATGAAATGGATGACTTATTATGAAAAATAATTAGTAGTTTCCATTGCTTGTTGCAAAGTCCCAAAAATCTGCACTAGAGAAATGCAGCCATGTGTATTAAACCCATAGTTATACTTTTGTCACTTCAGGCCATCCAAAAGAACGGGGGAACAGTAATCAATGGACCAATGGGTGACGCCATCTTGTAGCCAAATCCAACGTTATTGAATTCTTGAGGATTATAACTTTTATATATATCCCGCAAAAATCTCCCAATCTGTCCCTCCACCTTCTGCTACTGTTGAGATATATTCTGGCATCCTGGCCTTTTCCGACACACAAACCCACCCTACTAGGTTGTATATTGTGGGCTTTGCAGTGGATTATCCCTGTACAGTGGATTATGGGATTAACATATACACACGTAATCAGACGATGACCACTGTGCAAGACCAGAAAAAAAGCAGACGGGACTGTGAGAAACAGGGGTGATAGAGGAAAATAACCCGCCTGGAATCAGTCTACAAAATTTTAAAAAACCTTCCCTGCTGTAATTTAAACAGATATGAATAGAAGCAGCTAAAACGCAGTTACTAACAGGGCATGACGTCATTTTTTCCATCTGTACCAACTGTCACACACATGATGTGTTTATCATGATTAAAACAATTAAAACAAGAGTCACCATTTCTTTTCTCCACTGCATCTTTGTCTACGCTGAGTAATAAGACTGCTGAGTGCTGCCTGACTAATTGCTTTCCTGTGGAGGGAACAATTTCACTTAACTAATTCTTGAGTGCAGCTTAGAGTGTGGTCTTAAACTACTGACATATATTCCTGTAGCCTTCTTAAATCTCAGGTTTCTAGATTGATAGATGTGTTCTCCTTACCTTCAATGCGGTCACTGTTGCCAGTCCATAAAAAGGTCTGCTTTATGCATACAAATATTTTGTTAGGTGGACATCTACAATGAGTAAAATGCAGTCTATTTTGCCTTTCTGGTTCTTCTAGAGTCTTATCAAGTTGTTAATCAGTGTTGTATTCATTAGGTCAAACAATTCATGAGCTAAAGATGCCTTTACATCTTCAAGTTCACAGTGGGAAAAGGCACCTTGCTTTCCTGTATAGATTTCGGTCAATTAAAGGAGATCTATGACACAGAGTCTTTCTGCTTGTGACAGAGAGTTCAATATGTTCCACATAACATCTAAGATCCAGTTCATACTTCATGGGATTAGTAACATGCTAATGCATTGGAGCTAACTTTCTTGTTTCACATCAACAGACATTTTGCCTAAGGTGCAGTTAAGGAAAACCTGAAAGACAAACTAAAAAGTAGCACAAACACGCTCTTCAAACACCAAGTGAGTGTTTTTTTCTTCTTCTTCTTGAATTAAGGTGTAGAAGAGCATTTTGACTTCCTGTTATAAATATCGCGGTGGTGTTGTTTGTAGTTAAGAGCTTATAGAGATACGTCAGATGAAATAAAGACTACACCACATTTGACTCGATACAAACCCCTGTGGCCACAAGTATCAACAATAATCTCCCTTGGACGTCCTATAATTTGTCATGATGCTAGGAGTCGTTTAGTTTAAAGACATTTTCATTGGGTGACCTAGACTTACAACAAGTGGAAGTGACATGCAGAGAACAGAACACCTGCCTCCTGCTCATCTAGAAGGACTTCACTTGTTATCACACTGTGATTAAACCCTTTTTCACAGACACGTGTAGTGGCAGGTAGCAGCAATGTCTCTCAGAGGCAGCTCAGTGATCCACAAAACATTGTGACAGTCTAGTACCACTCATGCTGACAGCCACACACACGGGTGTACTTACTTGGCAGTGGGACTTACACATAATGTATATGTGCTTGCCTTTATTTGCATATTTTCACCTGGACGTATACACTTATCCTTAGTTTGCCTTTTGAGCTAGCTGCTTTAAACAAGGCCTCTTACAAAAACATATAATCCATTTAGCACCCTCTGCTGGTGAAAGAGAACTGCTGTGTAATACAACGATAGTCAAATGAAATGCTATTTGACTGGTGAGTAAATCGGAATATCGGCGCATATCTGCGATAAAATGAGCCGATATTCGAGGGTTAGGGTTAGTATCAGATATTATCGTCAGGCCGATTAATTGGTCGGGCTCTTTTTTCAACACAAAAGCACAAAACCAGTAGTTCCTTCAACCAAAACTTTAGTCGTCTTTCAGCTGAAAAGGGTGTGAGCGTTAGGAGAATGATTTGAATAATAATAATTATAATAACTTCTCTTTGAAAAATGGTTGTTCAAAGCAGAAATCCTCATTGAGGCATTTTAAGGGCAGACAGAATCCCTGATTTCTTGTCTGAACATTCTATTTAAAATAAATTAGATTGTGTCTGTTTTAACAAATTTAACTCTGGCTACAGAACCTGAACACCCTCAGGAATAAGGGCACCATATTACCGGTCAGCTAATTCAGAAGTCAAATGCTGTTTCATTGGGAGAAGAAATTATTTTTTTTACGTTCCGGTCTCTACAACCTACAAAACACTTAAGACACTGGCCTGTGCTATGACTAAAAGAGGCCTGATGGGGCACAGCATTGACATGAATACATTTAATTAAAAAAGCAATAATTGTTTTTATATCCCTTTCAGACACTTGCAACTAGGGAAACATGTGATTCACATCATCACTGCGATCAATCAATCCTGTTTAACAACAATCACAGAGAATGTCACAAAGATGCTGTGTAACAAAGAGTGGCTGCTCAAAATACTGATTTAAAAAAGTTTTACATGTGGACACTACAACTATATTCTCCAAAAGCTTTTTTCCTTTTTTGTCTCTCAGGGATAAATCTCTTTCCACTCCTAACATTTTTACAACCATCATGAAGCAGCATTTGATGACACAAAGAGCACAATAATGACACCGTCTGTCTGGCCTCCACCCAGGTGTGACAGTGTAAAACAGCGCCATCTGGAGGTCATGTGGAGCTACACAAAGTAAGAGAAACCGCCCTAACAATCCTCCACAGCAGCAGAGATGTCTCACTACTAAAATCTGTTGAATGAATTGAACACAACAATGTGGTTTGTGCCACATTCAAGGTGAGTTTAGCTTCACTATTCTATTGATTCATTTAGAGTGAGAAGCAGAATGTATTTTATTTTTTACGGCACCGCAGTCAGAATAAATGTATTAACATGGTTTTAAACTAATCATAAAAACAATTCTCATCAAAAGATAAATATGTTCCACTCCCGTTAAGTGATTCACTTTTTAATTACATAGGCTTCTTTGCATTCAGTCAGCAGTCATAATAAGCTGCAGTTCAACAATGCAGCCAACTTCAGCCAGTACTCGCAGAGCAGTAATGTCTAAACTGGGCAGCAATGTCGAAAATGGAAATCAGCTCTTGAGTATTCAAGTGGCGTCTCCCTGGACCAGTTTTCCCTTCTTTTCTTTTCTGTTAAGCGTTTAAAAATACGTGCGTGTGTCGACTACTATGAAAAATAGTGAAACCAATCTTTGCCACATGGAAAAAACCTTCAAAAGCAAATTCCAAATAGACTTAACTCTTTGATTTCTCTCCCACAACATGATTTATGGACAATAAGAGAAACAAGAAAACAAAAATGTTTTACCCCAAAATATGCTGCCACAACCTAACCATACCTCACTGCTAGAAAAACTTAACCAACTTGAGAATAAGGCGCCCTCTGGTGGCTCAACACTGCACCTGATAGCTGAATAAACACTTTATACAAACTAGGGCTGTCAAAACAAAGTGTTTATGGGGCGCTGGTCTAGCTCAGTTGGCATGGCAAAGCCCCCCCAAAAAAATCTTGTATAAATAAATGAAGTGTTTATTTTGATTTATTAATTAGGGACAAAAAGTAACGACAATCAAATTGCAGAGCAGATCAATCCATTTCTACTTTGTTCTCTTGATCCTGTTTCACTGAACATTAGAGTCTGCAGCAGCTGTTTAAACATGCTTAAAACAAAACAGCATGACTAGGCTTTAAATAGTATTATTTTATCCATCTGAGAGAGCAATTGATTAATTAGTGAACAATCTCTCGATGTATCCCTCGCGTACCTGGAACAAGTTGAGTCTACACATACACACTGCAGAACAACAAACAAACATTCATCCTCTGCCACGTACCCTCTGCTGATGCATGAAGTGCAACATTTCCCTTTGATACATTTTGAAGTGTTGCTGATGTCAGTCAGAAGCACGTTCACTTTGATACTGCTTTGTTTGTGGGTACTTACCAAGCTGTAGTGAAGTCTCAGTGTGGTAATATCCGTCTTGTTGCTTCTTCTTCAACATGGAACAAAGATCCACCCGCTCCACTGTCTGCTCTCCGAAAAACCTGAGTGTTGCAGTAAAAAGGAAAAAGTGAGAGTGAGGAGGGCTGAGAAAGGGAAGAGAAAGTTCTTCCAGCAGATAGTGAAGGTTGATTTCAGTCGTATGTGCAGTAGAGCGATTAATCGTCCATCCGATAAAAACATATCGAGTGACTATCGGTGAGAGCTAATTTCATCAAAGATATTTGCAGATATTACAAGATGTATTCACCAGTCAAATAGCCTAGCAGTTTTCTTTCTGTCACCAGCAGAGGGTGCTATATGGATTACAACAAGCATTATTAACCTTCAGAGTGTCAAGCGTACATGCACAATTACTTTCCAAGTGAGTCAGCATCTTTTCTTCATTAATCTTTTCCACAAGTGTTTCATTTCTACATTTGAGGGATCAACAAAATAAATGTGTATATCCATCTATCTCTACAGATCGAAGTAGATCTAACTAAGATATCGGCAGGTAATTGTTTTTCTCCCCAATATCAATATATGGTATCAGCCATAAAAATCCCATATCAGTCGGGCCCTAAAAGGACTTTTAAAACACCAGTGAGTCAAAATTCTGTCAATAGCCTGAGATGGATTTGAGCAAAAGTTTTCCTGTTACAACACACAGCCTGTAAAAACACTACAACATGTCCCTCTACACTTGTTGTGGAGAACTAACATCAGGTCACTTGGTTACCAGAATATTTTCTGGTAATATCAAAAAAATAAAGCACCTACTTGGTAGTGTAGTTGGAGTAGAGAGCCGGGTCTACACGTTTTATACCCTGAGAGAAACACAACATAGGAAGAGTGCTGTTTAGAGCACGCTTATTAAACTTTAAAGAATATGAGCACTTATTCTTTACAAACACACGCACACACACACACACACACACACACAAACACTCAGACTGATGTAATGCAAGAATGTCGTCCTGCAGACGCCAGGAAGGATAAGAAGATCTTCTCTCCGACCCTCCTGACCACTGCTTACCTCTCCTTAACCCTTTAAGCAGTCAAAGGTCACGTGTTATAAGAAATAATAACCTCACCGGGACTCAATGGAAAAGAAACATAACTGGAGGGAGGAATACAAAGCAGATCTAGAAAACAAAATAGAAAAAAAAGAGCAAGAGCAACTTTTTTGTTTCTTTTACTGATTTACTTTTGCCAAACGATTTGAATTAGCTGACGCTTTGAGGAATGAAAATGCACAGAGAAACACTGTATTAGGTGCAACCTCAAGCACCTAATATGCGTGTGCTTTAGAAATATAATTGTTGAAATACAGTATCTTGATGCTTTAAATACATTGCAAATTAAATGCACATATATATATATATAAACGTAAAGAAAAAATACTACTTGTTTCAGTGATTATGGGCATATCAATGTCTGTTGGATTGATACATTTTCATTAGCATGTAATTCACTTTTAGTTACTCAACAGTAACGAGAAAGAGCATATATGTTTGTTTGTGTGTGTTTGTGTGTATACCTGTGATCGTAGTTTTGATGCTCTGGACAGCTTCATAATGGTGAGGTGGGGTTCAAACCCACGACCGTCTCCCTGCAGTAGACCCTGCTCCACAAAACGGTTCCGCAACAACTCTGCAACACACAGACTTTCATGAAGGAGAGACGTGACAGAGATCATGAGGTGAAATTCAAACACTAAACTTCGAGATTACGTTTCAAACACAGCCACTACTTCCTCTGAATTCAGCCCCACAGATCCCCTTTACAGCAGCAGAGCAAAGAGCACCACTAGTGTCAACACAAAAGCTGAATAGATGAAAAAAAAAGAAAAGCTTTTTTTTTCCCCTTTCTCCCATATAGTTCTACCAGGACAGATAAACAAGGTCATCAACACATTCGCAGTCTGCAAGGACAGACATGCACACACAAAGACGCACACCACACCAACTCAACCACTGACGTTTAGAGGAAAACCAGTGTTATTTTTAGAAGAGGAGCTCTACAGGGAAGGAAAGGTTAGTACATAATCAATAACAGTGTTGGAGGGAGCAGACGAGAGGACAGCAGAGTCGGACTTCCTGCCGTATCCTTATATTGCTTTTCCAAATGAAATGTGTAATATCCTTCTGTTGCTGTTTTATTATTCACGTCTTAAATATGAATAAACATGTAAAAAGTCATAGTCTTTGAAAGGATGTCTGATTTGCAGAGGGGTAACAGATCACAGTTGACCCGCCATCTGTTCATATCAACACCACCCCACCCCCACGGTGCAGGCAGCTTCTGATCAGTGGATTGATGGAAATGTTATCATCAAGGTGTGAAATAAATGTACTGCTGCTAAGAGTCTCAGAAGTTCACTGTCCAATCAGTCTTTTGAAAAAACACTTTTCACAGACTTTCACACGGATCATAAAGCGTTGATATTTCACTGTGTTTACTTTGATTCAAACGTCGTACTGTCACTGTGTCTGTGTTTATCATGCAGGTATCAGCTGCTGTCTGCTTATATAGAACATCAATCAGAAACTTAAAGTAAGTGACGTTACAGCCTTAGCCATACAGACTCCTCAAAAACAGATGATATAGTCCCTAAACACACACAGCCTGTTTGTTGTTTGCGTGACTCACACGACAGGCGTTGCAGGTACAGCCTGACACACACACGCACACGCACACGCACACGCGCACACACGCACGCACACGCACACGCACACACGCACACACGCACACACACACGCACACGCACACTCACACATCCGCTCTATGAATACTGTGTATGTTACCTGTTCAACATTTTCAAAGCTCATATGGAAAATAAATAAATAAATCTTTTGCAGATGACAGCTCACTTGTTATTCACAGAAACATTTCCATGTTTTGTTGTTGTGTAAAGACAATGTCCCTGATGGGGAGTAACATCATATACTATCACTGAAATGGTTCAGCTTTTGAAATCACAGTCTCAGAGTTTTAAAAACTCTAATTAAATAAAAAGCGAGTTCAGGTTATCTAGCTGCTTGTATTTTTGTTTTCTGAATTATAGCAAAGGGAGAAAGCGATATAATTATTAAGATACATGGAGATGCATTTTGATTTGCTGTTAAGATGCACAGTTTGTTCAGTGACAAAAATCATCGATCTGACCTAAATTGTGATATTTGTGATCTGTTGCTACTGATGTGCACTGTTCTTAGTAAGTGTGTTGTTTAAATGGGCCACTTGAGAGCTGGAGTAAACATCAGTGTGGGCAATAATCAGTCGGCACACATTGGGTTGTGCTTCTATAAGGTTAGGAAAATCAATCAATACTACTAATTTGACATGCCATACTCCAAGGCTGATGTCCTTTAAATTTAGAACATGAACTTATATACCGTAGGGGAGTAACACAACTTAGAATGACTGTACAAAACATTAAACAAGCTATTTCCAATCACAGGCATTTATGAATAGTGTTTGATATCACAGCTAACGCAATGAACTTTATTATAGATTTTAATACAGGGTGGTTAGGGGGGAAAGGGAATGGTATCCAGTAGGTTAATCTTTCTGGAATAAGAAGTTCTGTTAAGATTAAGAGAGTAAAATTGAAGCAATCTGCAGGGTACCTTAATCCAAAATATTAAACCCGTGTCAGTCCTTCACACCCCGGTCCACTCTACTCCTAAGAAAACAAATAAATGTGATGAGAGGATTTTTCATTTTTATTTGAAATATTAAAGAGTTTTTGAATTTGTAATGAAACATCAGATTATGATAAAAATCTATAATTTCTTAAGGAGTATAATAGGAGAATATTCCTAACCTTAAAAACAGTCTAATGTGGGAATCTTTTAAAACTTTCTAGACTTTGTGCAAACACTAAAAGGAAACCTGTTTTCACAAAGTATATGCACATGAAGTCTTGCTGTTTTGTTCGGTATTGCATCACATTTACTGGAGTTAAATAAAAGGGACTTGTCATGTACATTCTTACCTACCTGGTAGTGGGTTAAAAGTTTAGCAAGTGTTAAGCTGCTGCATCTCTGTAACAGATCCTACATGTTCTCTGGCTGTTCTAAAGCTTTGTTGTGTTTTTGCTGGTTTTGGTTTGACTCCAGTCACACCTCACCTGAGACAGGACGTGTCTTAACCTCACCATCCACATTAGAAAGTTTACAACAGGTTTACAGAATAGATTGAGTAAAGGTTTCCTGAGGCCGTGCATACATTCTGCGGCACACTCAGTCACTCAAGTGTTAGCGTTGGTTTTACTTGACTGTGTCAATGTTCTAGTGTCTGTCCATTCTAGTATCAGCTGCTAGGTTAGAATGAGTTTAATGGAGTCAGATAAATGCAGATCTAAACATTATGATGCTGCATGTTTTTTTGTCTTGAACCTTCCATCTCTGACATGCCTTCCAGCTGTCATCTGGTGTAAAACGCTCGTCACTACCTCCTTGTCAATTGAATGTTTGATATAATGTCCAATGCATCATTGGAGAAAACACAACCTGCTGCTAACCAATAGGGCTGGGTATTTCCCACAACCCCACGATACGATACGTATCACAATACAGAGGCCACGATACAGCATATCGTATACATTGATTTTGGATAGTGTCCCACACAGAATTCACTACAACAGCTGTTCCTTATTGTTGAGAATAAGAGGCATAACAATCTTACAACTAAAATCTTTTTTAATTCAGGTGACCATCAACTAATTGATGTATTTTATTATTATGAACATCCTCATAAGTTAGACACAGATAAGAACATTCTTGCTTTACATTAATTAGCTAATAGTCGCACAGTTCCTGTTATGTTAGTGTACACAAATGAATGTCACTGTGTATTTCTGAAACAGACAGCATTAAGCATTTTGAGCTCATTTATTTTACACGTGTGGTTGTGTCAGTGTGTGTGTGTGTGTGTGTGTGTTGCTGTTGCAGGAGAAATGGGGTGAGAATCCTCTTAGAAATGTTGGCTTAATGTTGTTGCCAACGGCAAACCCGAGAAAAAAAAAAAAACATACACGCAAATGATCTTGTGTAAACCCCTTACATGGACGAATAATGAAAAATGTACAAGGACAAAGAAGACAGAGAACATGCAAAGACCTTACAAAACGTGTTCACACTATTTTCAAGGAACATTATTAGTTTATCAGAGGACTATTTTCATCCTTATCCTCATTTTTTTAGTATTCAACATGTCTAAAATATGCACATTACAAACGTCACACCTTTAAATACGCTGTTCTGCCAGTTAAGAGTCCAGAATCCAAAGATTCTTCTAGAACTCCCATGAATAAATAAAAGGAGCTATGCTGGAAATATTGTGGAAGCAACTGTCAAAATAGTTGATCATTTTGTCCCCACTGCACACACATAATTTTCAGACATCCAAAATTATAGAAAGAGAAAAATCCTCTCATTACCTCAAGTCTAGTTCTATTTGTTTTAAGAAAGAGGATGTGGCTGTGATTACATTCATCTGCAGACTTTTACACTGTTCTTACCGGTTTTTAAATTCATTCAAAACCAGATGTTTACACTCCACACTCTACACTCTACACACCTGCGTGCAGTGCAGGGTCCCACAGCAGAGCCCTATCTCTGGGGGAACTCATCATGAATACTTGGCTTCATTAACATCTTTTGGCAAATTTTACAGCCAATTGCGACTACCTTCTTTTTACCTTCATTTTAAAGACTGCCTTGTTGAAAATGCTCCCCAGTTCAGTCTAGGATAAAACTCGGACTGAGACCTCCTGCAAACTTTGAATATTGACTTTTTACAGTTAGCTAATCAATAAACAGCCCACCAATCCCGTAAAGCTAATTAATCTGTAACCTCAAACCCTCACGGTCACCTTTTACATGTGAAAGATATTAAGTCCTCTTACTAGCAGCGAGGCTCCCCAGCTGAAGGGAGGAGGTTCAAACATGCCTCCACAGGGACGAGAAATAGCATCACGCTCACATCCTCTAAAGGAACGTCTACTCTACAGCACTCGGAGCACCACACGATGAGCAAAGCTGGACTTTATATTTCATGCTTAAAACAGACAGAACTGTTGATGTAGGACAGAGGAGGAAAACACACAAGAGATTGAGAAAGCTCCATCACTGACCTGCCACACTGTCCAGTGTGTGTCTGTGCTGTCCGGGGGCCAGACTGACAAACACCACCTCCTTCCTGAAATGACTGATCCCCGAGAAGGGCAACGCTAGATCCCGCCCTCCCAACAGCTCAGCCAATGAGGGCTCAGCCTGAGCCAGCACGGATCCCGCCCTAATAGCAAATGTACAGATGAATTTACCACAACACACACACGCACACAAATTCAAGACCTAATCCTCTCTCTTCCTCTCTCTTCCTATTACATAATGAGAGAATCAAGTGATTACTAATGACACAATCTTCTGCTTGATGTAGATTAAGCATCAGCATCGTCACATAACATGGCTAACACGTTCCTGAGCTGCACCGTGTTGTAACATGAAACATCACTGCTCATTCTGTGACACTTCCTCATGAAATGTTTGAATCTGAACATTGAATGCAGTTTTTAAACATCTAGTAAACACAGGAAACTGCTTTCCCCGAATATTTGAGATGATGTTTCAATAATATTTTGTTTAATTTAAGTATTTGAAGTTACCAGGTATTTACTTTTGGTTTAGTTAAAATAAAACAAGTAGAAACACTAGTTTGGTTAGAAATGTTGGGCACTTTATGGGGCAATTTTAGCATTAAAACCAAATTATCTTATGTGGGTCAGTTTGAAAAACACAACATTCATAAGACACATTTTAACATTTTGCAGTGCAATACAACAAAAAATTGATTCTGACTGACTCCTTCCTGGAAATGCTGAGAGGAAGAGATAAGACAGAAGCAGCGTCTAAAGTGACATGCTGTGTAATTAGTCACTGCTGAACTCTGCTTCCATGTCTTAAAGTAGCGTCTTCAGTAACTTCACAACAGCAACAAACAAAAGCAGGACATTGTTCCCTGACCTAAAGTGGTGAGAGTGTGCAGCATCAACAAAGACTCATTTGGTACAATGGGAGACAATCTGATGTTTGAAAGTAGACTTATTTGAGAGCGCCTCTGTTTGGATGAATATGAGTTATTTAGCTGTAGCAGAGTCTGTGTGTGTCACTGTGGAAAAATGGATAAAGCAGGACAACAGAGAGATTTCAGTGTATTCTTTCCTTAAATCGCAGACCAGATGTTTGTTCAGCTCAAGTGGGTTACAAATCAAAATGGCAATATACAGTCTAAGGTCTTCTGCAATCTAATATGTTTTGTTTCATAGCAGCTCAGCCTTTGATGTCTAATTGGCTGATGGCATATCAATTATGTCAAATGTTATTTTTGTGTGTTATGTACAGCTCCCATTACATGGCTGTAAAAATGAATGTTTTTTTTTCAGGTTGAAATGTTAGTGTCGCATGCGGAGCATCTACTCACAGGTCTACTTGCTCCTGATTGGCGAGATGAGTGACTAACAGCGTGATGTGGAGAGTTGGGACGGGGATCATGGCTTTTGCCAGTCTTAGCTCCTGCTTAAGCACCGCCTCCTGGACCTCCAGAACAGTAGAACTGATCTGTCATTTGGAAAAATAATGACTTTAGAAAATGTACTGTGACTGCTAATTATCCCTCTACCATCGCTTCTCACTATCCAAGACAAGACTAGCATTGATAAAGAAGTGGAGAGGAGATGGAGATTAAAAAAAGAAGAAGAAACTGGAGCAACTTCAGCAATTCAACATCACAGACGACGCATCAATACATGATGACCATGGGGTAAATCAATGTTCATTCTCAGGGGCTGCTTGCTTAGTAAGCACTACGGTTTCAGTATCATCACCTGCCAGATAATTTAATCTGAACCCTTGTTTCCAATCTTCTCCCAGTACCAATTGAGCTACACTGACCATGTACCTACTAACACTAAGTTCATCAATAGTCTGGGAGAATTCAAAGGGTTTTTGAAACAGGATCTTTACATTACGACTATTGTTTTCCATCAAGGGCAAAATAGGGTTTACTGCAATTACAGAAAAATGAACTAGAATCAGCTTAAATATGGACATACTTCCTCTTTGGAAACACACAAAAAGAATACATGTCAAACTAATTAGAGTTCTGCTGGTCAGGATAGAAAAGCAATTTACAACATTTAAAAAAAAAGGATCTGGGTTCAACTTTTCTTCTTATAAAAAGTGACATCAGTGCGTGTGAGTTTACTGCAATGCTATACATTCGTAATGTTACTGTTTCCAAAGCATGCCATACGAGCTTCATGCAGCTGCTGATTTTGACGTCATTTTGTAGAGTGTGATAATTTACTTCAAGTACACTGAGATGAATGATCAATAAACAGTTATAAGGCTTAATATATGTTATTCTTTGTGTGTAACATTATTGAGGTTGAAGCACAGATGTTTTAGGAGCGCCTGCACGGGAGCTGGTTGCATTGCAAACAACCTGATTGCTGTCAAAATGAATTTAGCAGCTACTTTTAAAAGCTGAAATAAATTTGAGATTAATTGATGAATCGATCAACTGAAAGTTGGTTCGCTGACACATGCTACAGTGAGTGAAGAGTACTGCAGCTCCTTACCCGTGGGTTAGTGATTGGAATAGAGACAAAGTAATTTGGTCGCTGACTTTCTTTCTTCTTCTTTTTCTTCTTCTCTGCGTCCTCTTCACTGTCCACTCGCCCTCCGTTGTCTCCTCTCTTTCTCTTTCGCCTCTTCTCATCGGAGTCTGGATTTGAGATTTAACACAATAGGATACTTGACATGGGAAGACAAAAAACTGACTTACTCTTGTAACTTCCACTGAACTTACAGTTCATAAGTAAAAGATAGCAATAGCTAAATCTGTCTAATACAACGGTCTAGCAAAAATCGTGATGGTACAAATTACTACACACTTAAATAAATAAAATAAATAAAACAGGCACCAAGCCAGTCTGCTTTAGGCGGAGGCACATACTTCTTTTCAGAAAATTAGACCTGATTCAATTAATCTTGTACATTAGTATGTTATTAGAATGATTCAATGATGATATTAAGAATGCACACACATCCAAGCTCTTCCCATGTGGTGGGGCTGGTCAGAGCAAATGGAAGCTCAGACATTAAATCGTTTGTGGTGTCAGATGACTTGAGCTTCTTCTTCCTCCAGTTCCTTTTCTCCCTCCGCCTCTTGCTTTTTGTCTTCTCATCCGATCCAGCTGGAGCTGCGGAGAAAAAAAATGGTTGAATAAAATCACCATAATAAAAGCATCTGTTTCTGTATAAATACGGGTGCAAAGCTGCAGGTTAAATTACTCGACACCGGAGTTACAGTATATGTACAGGTAATAGGCATGGTTTAAGAAGGTGGAAAAACCTTTAATGGCAAGGCCTGTGATGGCATGCTGATACTGAAACACTGGGAGCGAGTGTTTTAGGTCAATCTTTGTAAATATGAGTTGTACTGAGAAACACTTGAAACCTGAACGCATCATGTAGCGCAACATCATGAGTACGTTAACATCTGTCCATGCAAAAAGGGTCTCTGCAGGAATGTGATTTTGCTGTTTCAAACTGCACTTTCAAATGCTGGCTTATTCATTTTTGAATAAATGATTGGGAATAAATAGAAAAAGAAAAACTTTAATGCTTCAGAAGGAGCCCCATTAAGTTGCACAGTTTAAAAAAGTTTAGCAGGTAAACTCTGTAAGAGAGAAATTTATCGAGACGTTTTTAATGTTAGGGAGACTTAAGAAGATTTCAATCCAACACAAGACATGGCTGCTTTTTTTTTTTTGAAGTATTAAATCATGTTTGGGCTAAATACAAAGAATGCTTCAGGTGGCAATATCTGCACATTACTAGTGGAACTGTTCGACAAAGCTTTGAAACTTTTTTTCCCCCGCAACTTCTCAGCGTCTATATGAGGCAGCAGATTGTACTCACTTGACAATCCCCAGCTTCCAGTGTCAGTCTTATCTTGCAGCACCTCCATGCTGACTACATCCACCTGACCTGGAATCAGCATTGCCTTCATCAACTTCTCATCCTTTCTCCCACGCTCCTGCGCAACTACACCTGCACCACCACCCTCGTCATCTTCATCATCATCTGAAGCAACTGCAGTGGTCTCCTTTCCATACGAGATATTAGCTGCCTGCATGTCACACACTGTTAGTTGATGCAGACAGGGCTGTGCCTATAATAACAGAGAAGAGTGATATAGCAAAAGCCACGACCGTCATGTTGTCCTAAACTGATTTCAAGACAGCATTACTTCAAGAGACCTCAATGGCTTTTGATACCTTAAGTTGGAATCGGTGTACAGATGTGTTTTTCAAGTCACTAATACCTACGGGATTGTGCTTCAAAAACAATAGTTGACTGACTGCAAAACCCCTCTGTGAACATGCTATCTTAGCAGTGGCACATGTCGATCTGATTGGACTCGACAGGATGCACCTGACGAGCATGACACACAAAAAGGTGATTCACTTTCCTTCAACTGGAGACGACTACAGGTCGATTGAACATATAGAAAAGCTACCTAAAGCTAACCCAGCCAGAGAAAATTAGCCTACAATTCTCTTCGGTGTAGTTAGCAATGACAAAAAGCATGAGGGATAGACTGGACCGTCCTGTAACCAACACCTGTTGGAATGAATCAAGCAGACATGCTGCAGGGACATCTGCTGCGCTACGTAACAATTAGCTCACTGTTGCTAACGAAGTTGTGCGGCTAATTAGACAAACAAAGCGGATTATAATTTGTGTCATTGTGATGTTGGTGCAGGAACCTCGTCGGCTGCAGTCAAAGAAACGTCAAAAGTGAGGAACATGCAACATTTAGCTCCGCTGTTACGGAATACCGACCAAATGCCGACTGAAGCGCCGTCTGTTTGTAAACAACTTCTTCTTCTTCTTCTTCTTCTTCGTGTCTATTGGCGGATTGCAGTCCCAATTTACAGGTGCACACCGCCACCTACTGTACGGAGTATTTAGAAAGGGATGCCGTTTTACAAGAGTAATAATAATTTACCTTTAAATAAAAACCCTCAAGTTCTGCTATTAGGGAAATTACCGAAAGGGGTAAAGAAGAAAGACTCTCACATGTTTTGGCGAAAAGAGCAGCAATTATTAAACAGATAACCAAAGAGCTGGTTAAAAGATGACAATTTAATTAACTCAAAATGGAAGGATCTTGTAAATGAAATATTTGGAATGGAAAAAATTACCATGAGAATTAGGAATCAGGTTAATATTTTTTAAAAAGTGGTACACAACTTCTGACACCTTTAATGACCCTCTGGTTATATGATATTAAGTTATTAAGTGTGTTAGTAATTTCCCTTTTAAGTATGTATATTTACAGATGTGTGTATGAATTAAAATATGAATTTAGATGTGTGTGTATGTACGTCCAGATCTGTCTGTAGGTAGGCACATTCATTTATGGTTGCCGTTCATACACTAATGATATTGTATCCCTGTACCATAAATGTATCCGACATTGACCAGCTACTGTATCTGAAACTTATGTAACCAGTTTTTTGTTAGTGTGTTTGTTTGTCCTCTGTGCTTTAATTTTCTCTTTCTGCTCTTTAAGTTTTTAAAAATTCTTAAAATGCAGAAAAAATAATTAATAAATAGAAAAACATAATAAATAAATAAGGAATTATAGAAAACATATGCATCCATATTTATCAGTCTATATCAAAGCTATTTTTGTTGATAATTAGTTTGAAGAATTTGTTATGTTTCAGCAAATGTACATTCCTACATTTTCTATTATACTGTGTCTATTGCATAAAATCCAAAATAACAGGTCAGCAGACGTATCCACTGTATATGAAATGTTGTTGGCCTATGACAACAACATTCCTTTCTCTGTACTTTCGCAGCCTTGAGCTAACTCACATAAGATGACTCTATGTGGGCCACAAAGTGAGAGAAATTGAAAATTATTGTTTTAAATGAAGACATGCAATTTTAATGGTTTTGATTGGACCATTAAAACACTGAATGCGACACTGAATAAAAATGTTACTATAGTAATGTACTCATATCAGAACTCTGGCATACATGAATGCATATGTGCAGTGGAGGACTGCCACACTTTTAATACATCTCAGATTTAACTTGTATATATATGTGGCTGTCAACATGAAGTGGGAAAGTATATATAAAATGTACCACAGATAACAGGATTTCACACAAACTGAGTTTATTGAAAGGAAATCAATCATCACAATTACATTACTGTGACATGATTGAGTAAGGTGAGGCAAGAAAAAATACATTCATGCTTTAAGCAATCATTAACTTTTCAGATCTTTATTTGCATTAATTGTTTATTTTAACGCAAAAATAAGTAAGCAAAATTAATAATTTTGTTAGCTATTGAGCTTCATGGCTTTCCCGCTCTTTACAATCTACTGTACACTAAAGTCTTAACTTATACAATACACAAGATATGGACAAAAAAAAAAAAAGAACCTTCAAGTTTTCCTGTTGGCTTTACTTATTGTCAAGCACAAATCTATTGCCCAGCATTTGTCATCCATTGACTCAACATTATATAGACTAGATGTGTTGGTAGAAACTGGAGAATAATATACTTTTCATTCAAGACTGATTGACAGATATTAAAGTCAACCCACTCCACATGCTGTAATTACATTTTTCAACAAACTTACAAGAACTTTCCAATCAGTTTTTAAATAGTTGTTGACTGGCTGCACCAAATAATAAAGAAAAAGTAAATACCAGGAAATATGACAACTTTTTTAATTAGCAGTTTCTGTACATAATTAACAGTGAACTTGACATCATTGAACACTGATCTAATCTTAGCAATCAGTTCAAGAAATGATCCTAAAGTATTTAGTCTAAATCAATCCATGTTGCTTTTATTTTTGCTGAGCGTGCAATCCATTACTGATTGTGACTTCATCTTGAAAAAATGCTGGAAAATAAACTGCTACTCTTTCTGTCAGAGTCCTTGCCCTTGTCATCTTTCCCAGACTTCCCACCAACCTTTCCCCCTTCAGCATCCCTAGCCTGGTTACTTTGTCTGCTGTTATATCCCCTCTTTCTGGGGCAGAACTCCAGTAACTTCTGTTGAATCCTAGAGACAGCTTCATCATTTTCTCGACACTCTAGTAATCCCTGCACTGTCTCGTGGTAGAAGACGTTGACATGGAACACGATGTTATCATATTTACCACCATGAGCCCATGTTCTCGCAGAAGTCATGACCGTTGGCTCACGTAAGTGATGCATCAACACCAGGATTACTTTTTTTTCACCTGTGGAAAACAAAAGAGAGGAGCACAGCTTGAGACAGTGAGGACCGAAATATTGAGAGGAATAGTTATGAGTGCAATTCTAAGAGGCAGACTACACATGATTTTCAATTTATTTCAACTGTAAATATCAAAAGTCTTCCCTATACAAATTCATGAATGTGTCTGTAACATTACTTTGAAAAAGTAAGTCAGATAATATGTCTCAATTCGAAGATCAACAAATAACGTTCATCAAAACTGAACCAGCAGAAGCTCTTTCCTTACCTTTCACTTCAGCCATGGCGGCCTCCACATCAGAGCCCACACGGGAAATGACAACGCAGAACAGAATAGTGATTTTATGATAGTCACTGCTTTCAGTGAGCTCAACCTTAGCCTTCACTTTGTCCAAGAACTTTTGATGCGCACCAAAGGTTGTGCCACTGACAACCATCTTGTACTTCCCTATAAATGAAAAAACAGATTTAAATGTCTATTGGACAATTACTTTGTAACCATAACAACTGGTATAGCATGATACTTGAAAAAGTCTTGTATATTTAGAAGGTACAGACAAAAAGAAAAGCTTCCAAAAGAATCTTTATATAAAAATTGAAGTCATGTAAACAGTGATAATATCTCATTAGACTTTTTATCACTATAGGTTTTAAGTTAAGTGTGTAATTATCATACCAGTACAATCCTGGGCCTGGTTACTTTGTCTGCTGGTATATTTCATTATTGTGGGGCAGAACTCCAGTAACTTCTGTTGAATCCTAGAGACAGCTTCATCATTTTCTCGACACTCTAGCAATCCCTGCACTGTCTCGTGGTAGAAGACGTTGTCATGGAACACGATGTTATCATATTTACCACCATGAGCCCATGTTCTCGCAGAAGTCATGACCGTTGGCTCACGTAAGTGATGCATCAACACCAGAATTACTTTTTTTTCACCTGTGGAAAACAAAAGAGAGGAGCACAGCTTGAGACAGTGAGGACCGAAATATTGAGAGGAATAGTTATGAGTGCAATTCTAAGAGGCAGACTACACATGATTTTCAATTTATTTCAACTGTAAATATCAAAAGTCTTCCCTATACAAATTCATGAATGTGTCTGTAACATTACTTTGAAAAAGTACCGTATTTTCCGCACTATAAGGCGCACCGGATTATAAGGCGCACCTTCAATGAATGGCCTACTTTAGAACTGTTTTCATATATAGGGCGCACCGGATTATAAGGCGCATAGAATAGAACGTGTTTACAACTGAACAAGGCTGGGAGATATTGTGAATATATAAATATAAATACGTATAAAACGTAGTGCATTCACAATAACTCAACGTTGTTCAAACGTTAATGTGCATATTCACAATATCTCCCAGCCTTGTTCAGTTGTAAACACGTAAAAGAAACACAGTCTGATACCGCTAATTCAAATGTTTGTGCATAACTCAACATTGTTCAGTTACGTATAACACGTAAAGCTCACTTTTTCAGTTCATTCCCCGTCCACGAATCCCTCAAATTCTTCTTCTTCAGTGTCCGAATTGAACAGTTGGGCGAGTACGGCATCCAACATGCCCGGCTCCCTCTCGTCATTATCCGAGTCAGTGTCGCTGAGCGCCGTGTACAACCAGTATGGATCAACCAATTAACCAATTGATCCATATATAAGGCGCTCCGGATTATAAGGCGCACTGTCGTTTTTTGAGAAAATTAAAGGCTTTTAAGTGCGCCTTATAGTGCGGAAAATACGGTAAGTCAGATAAAATGTCTCAATTCGAAGATCAACAAATAACGTTCATCAAAACTGAACCAGCAGAAGCTCTTTCCTTACCTTTCACTTCAGCCATGGCGGCCTCCACATCAGAGCCCACACGGGAACTGACAACGCAGAACAGAATAGTGATTTTATGATTGTCACTGCTTTCAGTGAGCTCAACCTTAGCCTTCACTTTGTCCAAGAACTTTTGATGCGCACCAAAGGTTGTGCCACTGACAACCATCTTGTACTTCCCTATAAATGAAAAAACAGATTTAAATGTCTATTGGACAATTACTTTGTAACCATAACAACTGGTATAGCATGATACTTGAAAAAGTCTTGTATATTTAGAAGGTACAGACAAAAAGAAAAGCTTCCAAAAGAATCTTTATATAAACACTGAAGTCATGTAAACAGTGATAATATCTCATTAGACTTTTTAGCACTATAGTTTTCAAGTTAAGTGTGTAATTATCATACCAGTACAATCCTGGACCTCCTCATTAGAAATCACTTCGTATTCTTCTTCTACTGAAAGAAACGTTTATCATTCATGACATTCTTTAAATTTACCAGTCAGAGTCAGATTTGAACTAAAGACAACTAAAGGTTTTACATGTGAATCACTTGAACTGATAAAATACATGGACGGAAAAGATCCTTTAAATGTGATTGCTCAAAGGGTCTGGCCATGTGGCAGCCAAACATGTAAAGCTACAAATATTTTTAAACCTTTCAGGTGCAAAACAAAAAGAGACTTTTATTTTAAGCTATAACAGAATTTAGTAATTCCACAGATTAAAAATACGTAAAACAGATAACTTACTCAATCATGTATAAATGGAGATGTTGTCAAAAAAAAAAAGAAGGAAGTTATATTTACTCTGTCCCTCTGACTTGCAACTGTTTGACCCATAAGCTGGCACCATTGGAGCAGCAGCATTCGCTCCACCTGTTCAAGAGTTTCACAAAACAGGATAAATACACTAACTCACTCAACTTCTTTAGAGTATAATTTCAAATTCAATTCCAAATGAGTTATGATCAAATCTCAATTCTTGAACTGCTTCATACACGTGTTGTTAGAAGTGGAATAAAGCCAGACTCACTATGTGGGCTTCGCAGACGACCATCACTTTGGCCTTTGTAGGGGACATTGCTTGCTCCGGCTTCAGGACCTGTCCGACGAAAGTAATTCATTACTATGCAACTGCTGACTCCAAATATTATTCAAACCAACTTAATGAAAAACTCTGTGTTGTGTAATATGACACAGTTAATATGGGCGCTCAAAAACACTCATGCAGAGAAAGGCTGCGGAAAAAAACCCCACACTGACTGCACCAGAAAATGTAAATACATTATTAAATATGTCTTTTTAACTTTAGGTTTTGGTTGTTTTGAAAAATAATTCCAATGTTTCCCTCACCTCGCCACTGAAAAATATGCCTCCATAGAGGGGCTTCCTATTGATGATACACTGTAGGAAGCCAACTGGGGGTCAACCAGAAAAGGGTAAAGATAGTCACCAGGAAAATGGTTTTGCCTTTATTTTCATCTCATCATTGAAACAGTTGAACATTGGGGAACAGTAATCTATTTCCAACTTTCAATCTATTGTATGCGTATCACATGCTTGTCCTATAAAAGTGAAAACATTCTGACTAGAAATGAGATATATTATATTGTATTACCGGACGCCAGTGGAATCTTTAACATCTTTACGTACGTCCATGTGCGACCTCCTAATTTGCTCTGTATCTTGTTTGTAATCAATTCATTTTGTACCTCCTAACTATCCAAAGAAAGGACGAGGCCCAGCAGAGCCTTCCAAGCGCGATGAATGTGCTTAGTCTCGCCCTGTGCTTCCCCGAGAGGTTTATTGTGCACTTAATATAAAACAATATTGAAATTAAAATATGTATTATAATAACCTTTACCAGAGTCCCTTTGAGGTGCGTCTTCTCTGAGCTCTTCTATAAGCTTGATTTGAGTATCAAGACAAACATGTAACTTATTTGTATTGGTCTTAAGTTCCTTCATGATTTTGAGGTAATCATCCAACACTTCAATGTTTTTGAGGCCAGCTGAGGAGAGAAAATAAGGTTGTCAACATGGTTAAAAAATAACTGAATAGCTATGTCATTATGAAAGTGAAAGTATGTGCCAGCAAGGCTGAACATACCCAACAAGGATTCTGGAATGAATTCCTCCATTTCTCTTCTGAGGGCATGATGTGGCTTCAAGACAAAAAATGTATGATTTAAGAGCATTCTTTGTAATACTTTAAACGTACACTGTGTTGAATCCTTAAAACCAAGCGGTTAAATTCCACTTAAATCTTCCTCTGTTGTTGCACACTTTTTCAAATCTCACCTCTTTGTGTATTTTATCAAAGAGCTTCCTTCTAAGTTTGAGTTTATCTGCTCCAGGAAACAGCTCATGCAGGTCTTGTCGAGTCAGAGTCTTGATGTCCGAGTCGGTGGAAAAATCTGCCTCTGCAACACAAACACGAGCGGAGTTATTTGTTGTTATTGAAGTTATAACACACGAACTGAGTTTCATTTCAACACATTTCTTCTCTTGACAGAGTTTCTTTTAGGTTTCCCACTGTGTCTTTAAAAGAAGGCCCATCCCAACAGTGATCGAAAGCTAAACCCTTTAACAACTGTTCTGATGAAATGATGTTTCTGGAATAAAAACAGTCACTCACTTTGCAGCACCTGGGCTGCTTCTTTGTCCATGCTCTTTATGGCGGTCAGTAATCCTGACATGACTTCACCTGTGGAAAACAACACACAACAGAAACATGTCAAATTTGCCACGCAAAAATGAAGACACTTCATAAATACGGAATAGATATCCTATTCGTGGAGCGAACACGAACCTTTACACCGTACGGATCAAACGATCGACGAGTATCTGAAATAATTGAGTGCCACGTTTCAGTAGGCTACTTGAATAAAGTTAACCGTCGAGTATTTATAACCAAATAGAAATATCTGTAGTCACCGGAAAAATGACCCCCTGAAGTAAATAGAAAGTGAAAGTTTAATGCTTTAAAACGTCGTCGCGTCGTGACGTCGTTGACTCCTCACACGCTGATTGGTAGCTAGAGGAGTTATTGACACACGTGCAGTATTCCCGCCCACCCGCTCGGCTTTTACTGTAAAGCAGTTTAATTACAGTCTTTATTTAATTAAATACATTATGTGGAAAAAATAATAATCATGAAGAGAAAAAGACAAGAGCAGTAAAAGGCGAAATATTTTTTAGTAGCCTATTTCAAATTGGATTATAAATAGGAGTAGAGTTTTTCGAAATACAAATATGATTTTAATCTCTATACAGATATAATCAGCCATACTTCTTAGCATGAAGCAACATACATACTCACAATACAGCTCTTTTCTCATCAACAAATTTAATGTATAGGTTATAGGCCTACATGGGGCAAAGTTTTCCATGATGTCACTTTCATTATTTCTTTTGACTGTTCATTGCAATAACCAACAAACATTTCCATAAAGTTAAATGTTAAATGTTAATGCTAATTTGAGCTGCCTTTTGTCACTGTGTATTTTTCCATCTGCGCATAGTAAAAACAGTCTTTTCATTCAGTATTTACAGAGATAAGCCAGCAGGGAGCAGTACTGTCCCACACTTGTTGGAAATCTGGGCCTGCTTAAATAACACAGTGTCATAAGAGCATCAGTCACATTAACACACTTCATTCTTTGTTCTCTATATGGGGCATTTATATATTTTGGATGGCATGTTTCAAGGTTTTATTACAAAATATAGGATTTGATTAAATGCAGTAGTGTACTCATCTAAAACACACACATGGAAGTGCAAAGGAATAAGCACTTATGTACCGTTTATGCGGGTTGGAAGTCAAACTAAATTACTTTTAGATAAAGATGTAGGCTATAGTTACTCTTATACAGAAAAAAAAGTTTAAATCACTTTCAATATTTTTAATGTAGGAGAAAGAATTGAATTAAACACTACGATAATTTTTTATTAAGAACACCTACTTTCCTTAAAAAAATAGAATTAAAGTCTGTTTATTATTAACATGCATTTTAAGGGTTAAAGAGGGTGGAGAAGGTCATTTTGGTATTATTAAACTCAAACAACTCCAACCACATACAGCATTGTTATAATTTGAACAAAAAACACAAGATGACAAAACCTTTTATGCCATTCTAGCCGGAGGCAGCACTGTTTACACTAACATCACAATAACAGAAGTGTTACTTTCTGCAACAAGTTACAATACAAGTTCAAGAAAAGCTGTTTTTTTAATCATTTAAGTTGAAGTACAGAGAAACCATGAAACCAAATGGGGATGAGTTGGTCTGCTATGTCTGTTGTCATTCATCAGTTTGTGCTGAGTCCCTTCCTCCTTTTTTTGGGGGGGGGGGGGGGGGGGGCTGCTGGTGGCTCCTAGTCATCTTCTTTATGTGTGATGATGGTGGAATATAAAACATTTGTTGTGTTGATCTGAATATGCAACATGAGCAGTGTAATGACATGCAAAGGCTGTTGGAAAAAATACAGCTTAAGATGAGCCGCTGAGATGGTTTTGATAAGAGATTCAGTCCTTTGAGGCCTCTTCAGTGACATCTTTCAATAGAAAACAGACATTAATTATGTCAACAGAGAAAT